TTCTGTATACCTTCAAATTTAAAGGATTTGCTGCAACGCAATTTTGTCTGATAGGCTATGTGAATTATTTATTAGCCTATTTTTTTTTTATCCATGCAGCAAATGCTTTAAAAACAGCTTTAAAAATTACTTTATTGCAATCCAGACGCTTTTAAAGTACTTTTCACTATACATTTTACAGGTAGCTTGAATGTAAAACATTGTCATGAATTTATTGTATTCCCATTTGTAAAATAGCCAACAAATACATTTTTGTAGGCTAACCCGATCTCATGAAAGTGCGTATAGCATGATTTTCTGCTTCTATTTGGCATAATATTTATATGAAGAAATTGACTTTGGCAGGCCTATAATAACTGCTGAAATGTTTGCGGGGCAAATCTCAGGTCAGTCTGAGCGCTCATGGTACGCACAGTGCGTACAGCCCTACACCTGCAGGCTCCACTGGCTAGGATGAAGGGATCTAAAATATGGTCATGCAGATTAAGGCAGTAAAATGTGCTTTATAAGTACTAATAAACAGCCAATATGCTAGTAATATGCATGCTAATAAGCAACTAGTTAATGGTGAGAATTGGACCTCAAAATAAAGTGCAACCGATTTTTTTTTTAATTGAAATATGTTTTATAAACATTTTTATATAATAAAAACTATTTTAATGTAGACAAATATTTGACACTGAAAAAAAAAATTTGGACACTTAAGACATCAAAATACATTTCTGTAAATTGTACAGTTTACATGATTAAACAAAGATATACTGTTCATACTGTTTGAAGTTGTGAATAAAGCAAAGATTATTTGAGTATGTTTTACAAGAAAATACTATTTAATAGATTTTTTGCTTATTTATTCATTTATTTTAATTCAGTGTTACTTGCTGTGTCTTTGTAATTGTTGGTGAAATTTACCTGCAATTTCTGAGTGAAGATTGTTTCTTCACCAAATTTGTTTCAGTGAGGTTACTCTGCTAGACTACTTAGTGCACTCCAGATACTTTTTGAATCTGATGTATATATGAATAAAATTGTTTAATTAATTTTTTAATGGATTTGATTCTCTGGAAGGGTTACACTGAGCTAGACTCAACCTCAGACCTGTATTATAACATCTTGAGAGCAGCTTACAGCCGAATTATCCATCTGCCTGTGTATTACACGAACAATTCCCTTCAGCCACCTCACGCTTTCGGTTTCATTGGGCTGTAAAGAACCTGTGTTTTATGAGATATGTTCAATACGACCTGCTGTTGGCTGAGTATATTAACACCGAACAAGGGCACAAATTTACAGAGGAGCTACGCTAAAGGCAATAGATTATATTTTAAAAGCCCCTTTAATAAAAGGACTGCCATCAATTTCTAACGCCCTTTCATTTATAGAAAAACCTATGAATTAAAAAAAAAAAAAAATTTATCTAACTGTCAAACTGGTAGGTATGCAAAGCTAAAACTGGACTTAAGAACACAATTAAATGTTAAAGGTGAATTTCTTTAATGCTTAAACTTCTGGCTCAACTAATGACATGAGTTGAAGCAGAAATACCTGTTTGTTGGCTGAAGAGGGTTTAAACATTTCAGTCAGCGTGTACAGTAAATTGGCAGCTGCAAAAGCAAAACTCAGGTTGTAACTCTCTATTAAGACTGATTTATAATCCATAACATGTAAACTTGTGCTTGGCAGTATATTACACCAGGCTGCTCTGCCACACCTCAGCGGTGCTGTGTGATTTACTGACCCAACATGAAATCATAAACATGATAGCATATTAAATCAAAACTAGGCTGCTGGAAAACATAAAAATGTGTCAGTATAACCAATCCTTTTACATGAAATAAAACAACACGCATGAAAGTCTAAGGAAAACCTATGTATATTTGCATACTGTTACTGCATGTCCTTGTCCTGTACAAGATATCACATGCAGGATTGTTTTTCTTTGAGATATTATTTAAAAAAAAAAAACAATTAAGTCCAAACATTCATACTGCCATAAGTGTGTGTGAGCCAGTATTAGAGTGTGTATGAGACAGTAGTGTCTTAAAGCGATAGTTGACCTAAATATGATAATTCTGTCATTATTTACTGTACTCATCTTCATGTTGCTCCAAACCTGTATGACTTTATTTCTTCCGTGGAACATCAAGACAGATTTTCCAAGCTGCTTTTTCCAACAATTATACGGTAACAAATATACAGTACACAACTGTTTAAAAGTTTGGGGTCAGTAAGTTTTTGTTTTTTGTTTTTTGTTTTCTTAAGAAATTCATACTTTTATTCAGCAAGGATGCATTAAATTGATCAGAAGTGACAGAAAATACATTTATAGTGTTACAAAAAAAATCTGTCATATAAATGCTGTTGTTTTGAACTTTCTATTCATTAAAAAAATCATTAAAAAATTTAAATGGTGTCCACAAAGTAGCATAACTCTTTTCAGCATTGATAATAGTAAGAAATGTTTGTTGATAGCAAATCAGCATATTAGAATGAATTCTAAAGGATCATGCAACACTGAAGACTGGAGTAATGATGCTGAAAATTCAGCTTTGTATCACAGAAATAAATGACATTTTACATTTTGATTTTGGTTGCACTGTCCCTTTAAGTGACTACTGTATACTGTATATAGTATTTTTGTTCCTATAGATGAACAATGTTCTGTATAATAATTTTAATTTCATAATTACTGTAAGTTATATTCTGACATCTGAAAAGTTTCATCATTGCATCTGCACGTCTCTCATGTATGTATGTGGATTTTCTGGAGTGATATTTGGTTTGAATGCAGATTTGCTTCTCCTGACTGTTTTGTTGCCTGTGGTCAGTGGACAGTCACGGATGTGTGTGTGTGTGTGTGTTTGTGTGTGAGTGAGAGTGTTTAGAGGGCATTCTGAATCACTCCACTATGCATGCATGAAAAGCTTTTAGGCAGCGGGCTTGCCAGGCACCCAGCTGTCAATTTATTTGATTTGATTTGAATTGTGGAATGGGGTTATGAAGTGTGAAACGTCAGGGCTAAAATGTTTTGATTACCCCCATACACTGTGGCCATCAATTTCCATCAGTCTCCTCTAAGATATGGAAGGTTTGTGCATCTTGGCATGAAAATGGTTATCTGTAACCTAGTTTAGTAAATGTTTCTGGGCGTGTTAATTGTTAGCTGGATGTTGTTTTCAAAAATTTACATTTTTACAGCCTCGTAAAAGTGTTTTAATAAGTGGCTTGTATTTACAGCGCAGTGCACTGAATGTGCTTGTTATTCATTGTATTCTTAATATAATATTTGGGTTGCATTTGTAGTCACTGAAATTATCTCAAATATTTGGAGAGAACATCTGAATGCAGAAAAGCCAAAATAACTAAAAGAGATCCAGTAAAACAAAAATGTTCAGCGCCAAATTGCTTTTCCTGTTTCAAAAGAATGATGTTATTTAGAAATATAATGTTTAAAGGAAAAATTCACCCCAAAATGAAATATGTTATTTGCTCACACTCTGTTCCAAACTTGTATGACTTTCTCCTTTCAATGAAACAGAAATGAACTGAAAGCACTGGCCAATATATATATGTATTGCTTATTTATTATTTGTTATTTATTTAGTGCTTCTTGCGTTTAAGTCATGCAAGTCTTTTGAAATCATACTGTTGCATGGGCTTTGTGTGAAGAACAGACTGAAATTTAAGTCGCCAATCATTGAAAATGTATGCAATCTTGGTATGAGAAGACAGGTTTGACAGTGAAACAAAACTGTGGAGCATTTTAATTATTTTATTTCTTTGAAAACAACATCCTTTAATCAATATATGCTTTTATTGTATGTAAAAGACAGCATGAACATTCATCAAAACTTTCCTTTAATTTTTTCTGGATTTAGGATGGCAAATAAACTATGACATAACTGTCTCTCTGTGTCTCTATTGAATCTACTGAACCCTTGATGGAGTGTGATCATTGTAAAAATCTATCGGTCGCTTCTCTTTCATTAGATCACCTATAAGGCTCTTGGCTCCCTGGACCTCAGCGCAGATTTGACAACACAACGTGGCCGGGTCTTCAAACTCCAAAATGAGACCCATCATCTCTTCGTAGGGTTGTATCCTGGCACCACATACTACTTTACTCTGAAAGCCAGCACAAACAAAGGCTTCGGCCCACCCGTGACCACCCGTATTGCCACCAAAATTGCAGGTAAGGGAACAGCATGGTTTCAGCTAAGGGTTCAGCTAAGATTGTTGGATATTTTTCAAAAGTGTAATGAGTAAAACAGACCCTCAAGTTCCAGTTTAATTGAGTTGATGTGACAGACATTTGTACTTTATGGATATAGACGTCGGATTGATGTTGGACAGACTGATGATAATGTATGAAATTATTTCTGGGAACATGAACTAACATGGTTAAATAAGCTTAATTTGATTGCTTACCTAATTACCACTTAAATTTCTAAAATTTGCATAATTAGTTTTGTCATTTTAAATTTTTTGTGTCTTAAAGAAGCTTTGCTGGAGCAAAAATCTCATTAGCGAGTTGTGTTATTGGCATAAATATAGTTGGAATACAGTTAATGTAAAGTGAACAAAATAATGAGAACATGAATCGTAAACAACATCCTCCACAAGTTCAGCTCCATTTCTGTGGCCTGCGGCTGTCAGTTCGTTCCGTTTCATAATGACGTGGCATTTGTGCAGCACGCCAGACACCGTTTATTAAAACCGTATTGTTCACTGAATCTAAACATTGTAATGAGAGATTGACATTTTCAATGTGATTACATAGTAATGATCGTTTTGAGTCAGGCTTCAAAACTGTCTGCTTTCTCATAAGAGTAAATACTGTGAAATGTATTTTTTACAAAAACATGAATATTAATTATGCATAATATTAAAACATGTTTTTGTGTGTTTGAAAGGCAGCTGAGTTCCAAGTTCAATACAAGCTAAACTCTGTTCATCTGTAACATGCTGTCAATTGCAGCAGACAACAATTTTGACATCTCCCCCAGTTTGTAAAACATGCAAGAAGTGTTTACAGTAATGCACTTTCATTTCAAAGTTTTAATACTATGCACAGAAATATTGGTCATTTTATTCTTGCAAATGCAATTAATTCATACTTACGTTATTTAAATCGATAAAAACGTGCAAAGCTTTTTAGACATCCACTAGGTCTGCTATGCTATACAGTGCGTGCTTTCTTTATATTCTGATAGTCGGTGTCCTTTAACATGAATCTATGTGTCTGCAGCTCCATCCATGCCTGAATATGAGACCGACTCTCCTCTCAATGAGACGGACACGACAATCACCGTCCTCTTAAAACCTGCCCAATCACGAGGGGCCCCTGTCAGGTGAGCATTCATCTCATGCCACTGGCTTGTTTAAAGTATTTTGCTTATTTGTTTTACATTGAAGAACTGAAAAAATGTAAAAGAAATGTGCACCTTGAATGCAAGCTTAGTCGCTTTGGATAAAAGCGTCTGTCAAATACATAAAAGTAAATGTGATTGATGTTGAGAATGTTTGCATTTGTGACATTATCTAAGAAAGTACTGGTCAGGTGTGCTCTTTTGACACTTTTATTCAAGGGAGAATATAGAGAGGACAGATATAGTGAGGGACTTTAAAATCCTAATTGGCTGTTATCAGTTGACTTAGATTAGGAGCCTGAAAGTTTGTCCCCTTGAGCTCTCTGGACCTCAACATCAGCTGTAAAGATTTAAGTACTTGTTCACATGCTGATTGTGTCAAACTAAAACAAAAAAAAAACACTTTATTTCCATAGTCGACTTCAGACATTCTACTAGCTATAATTTACTTTGTAATTACATGTCAACTATCAGTTATTACAGTATTAGTAGACAATCTGCTTAATACCTGTTTGAAAGAAAAGACGTCCCATTTTGGTGTCCACATCAAATTAAATTTACAAAAGTGATTTTATTTACATACAGAAATCAAGTAAAGCGTCTGCTTTACTGTTTCAAATAACTGTTATGAAAAGAAAATGTCAAAATATGGGTGAAATAATGTTCTATCGTCATTCATCTTAACAGATATATTTCTGTAAAAATGAAACAATATACTTGACCTGTAATATGCCCTGTATTTATTAAAATAAGTAAAATAATAAGTGATCATACTAAATATTATTATGTTTTAAAAAGCTTCTTTCTGACAAATGGGTAAAACCTATTGCACTGTGATCCTTAAGTAGAGTCTTATTAATGCCATCTAATGATTCTTGTTCTAAATACTAAATACTATTGTTACACTAAATTATGTTTTAGTGGGTGTCTTCTGTAAATCATAGTAAAAATGTATGATAGTCATTATTTTTTGCTCAGAAAAAAAAATCTAATTAAACAGGACACATTCTAATGTACGGTGGTAAAAAAAAACGAAATGTTAAGCTGTATTAAACTTTAATTGTTTTGATGCTTGAAAACCCCTTTTCGTCTTTGACCCATCTGTTAACACTTTATTTTAATAGTTTCCTAACTGACATTCTACTGTAACTTTGCAAGTACCTGTCAGCTTATTCTACTAACCGTAACCCTGTCCTAACTGTCTACTAATACTCTAATGAGAGTTAGTTGACATGTTGTTGCAAAGTTACTTATAGTAAGTAGAATGTGTAAAGTGAACTGTCTGTTTAAAAAAAACTGTTTAAAAAAATTGTTTTAAATCTGCAGACAGATGCGAACCACATTAAAAGCCAAGAAGACACCAAATTACCCATGATCCCTCTCTTCAATCATCCAAGAGGGCTCTAGTGCATCGTCTGAATGAAGAAGTGCATTACTGTTGATTCACTCGGGGTCCTGAGGGTTTTTAAATGCAGTCATTCAAATAAGCATCATTTGTATGCTAAGCCTTCGAGGGGATCCTGGTCCATTTGGCTGTGTTTTGGCACTCAAACAAAGCCCTTCTCTGTGTGGAAATTCAGTCTGTGAATGTGCAACAGATTTTGGCAAATTCTCGAAATTGCAAGTTGACTCTGACTTGGAAGAACAGCAGAGTTGATGTGCAATGGGAGCCCATCAGTAATTATGACAATTATTTGGTTGCATGTACTGTTCCGAGTTGTGTTATTTTAGTATCATTGAGCTACTATTAAAGTTTTTATTAATATTTTAAATCAGTTTTTATTTTTTATTTTCATTTTAATTTTAGTTAAAGTTTTTGTAGTTTTTTTTTTTATATACTTTTCTATAGTTTTTATTTCAGTTTTAGTTTTATTTATTTTCCACATCAAGTTGAGTTTCAGTGAGAAATGTTGCCTTTGCAACTAGCTTACATAAAAAAGTTTTTTATATTATTTTATTTTATTTCAAGTAATAAAAATGTTTTTTAATTTAGTTTTAATTAACTATAATAACCCTAGTATTAGCATTTGGCAAGACAACATAAGATAACATAAGATTCAAATAATTATATTGTATTATATTATATTAATAAATTCTTTAGGCAATTTTATTCATGTTTGCATATTTATATTTAATATATTTAAGGGTAAACCAAAATGCACTGATGCATGCTTTATTATAAACAAGTGGAAAACTGTTTTTCCATTGTTAGTTTACTCTATAATGCATACGACCCTGGCAATCCATAAGCGTCTTTATGAAAAATATGCAACTGAAAATTGTTTATAATTACAGCAGCTTTCGACCAGGGTTACAGCGAACACACAACGCATGACATCCAGTGTGCACTTAAAGCCATTAGTCTGAAATGGAGATCCAGTGTGTCTGAAAGAGAAGAGCAGGCAGGCCTCTTTGGTCATGGGAAATTATCCTTTATGAAAGATGCCAGATTAGAGGCTTCTTTTCGGCGAAACATACATTTCCCTAATTGCACATAATTGGGAAGTATGTTCTTGGCGTAAGACCACATAATTACAAACAAGTACTATTAGCACAGGGAGCTCAAAAGATGTCCTTATCTATTCACCGTGTACTGAAACACACACATGCCCCTCTCCAGTTCTTCCCCACGACGAGCACTTTCAAAAAACCTCATGCGCACAAATCCGCCACCTCCCCTCCAGCTAATTACCGTAGTAGAGATTTCCCTCTGCTGGCTCTCTACTGCATCGCTTGCCTCGTCGTTTTCTCTCAAGAGGAGAAGCAGCTGTGTATTTTTGGGTCTCATGCAGGTTTAAAGAGTATTTTTTATTCCAAGAAAAGAGTTTAATAGAGATGTTTAGCAGCTAGTTGTTAGCGTTAGAGAGTTCTTGGTGGCTGACAAGGCCTTCTGTGATTCTTAGAAAGCTACAGGAAGAGATGTTCTTGATGGTTTTAATGGCTCGTTAAATTGCCTCGGGCACAGCTCCTTCTCTCTTTTTTGGATGTGCCATCGCTAGCTGAAGATATTTCTCAAATCATGAGGCTGCAGTATAAGCGGCTAATGCTAAAGCATGCACTGCAAAAAATGATTGTGATTTTAACAGTAAAAGACTGTAAAAATGCTACAGTAAAAACCTGTTAACTGGTTGACAGTAAGTTTCCATACTATATTCGGTAAATAAATGTAATTACATTTAATGTAAATTTACAGTAAAATACTGTTAAAAATATGTTTTTTGGAAGTGAAAAAGTCATTGTATAATTTACAGCGAAAAACCGTAAA